GAGAGAGAGAGAGAGAGAGAGAGAGAGAGAGAGAGAGAGAGAGAGAGAGAGAGAGAGAGAGAGAGAGAGAGAGAGAGCTCCAACCACCAGCCTTATTTTGTGAGCGGATGCATTGCTACAACATCAAACATTTTCCTATGGCTATAACATGCATCAATAGAGGAGGTTGGTTGTTTATTGGGTCCTTCAGCTATGGTGGATAGCTTACCAACAGCAATCGGGTCGGTCGAGGCTGTTGCAACCTCGCCTACAACCCCGTCCTCCCGCACTGGCGTGTATTCGGCCATCAATGTGTAACCGACATCATCTGGTATCGCCTCGTACTCTCTGCCAGTGTGACCTGGAGTCACAACCAGTCACACATTCTTCAGTCCGAAATGCTCTGCGTCTACCTGCTGTCACACATCGAGTTCCATGGACCGCCACTCATACCATGTGTGACAACTGCTATCCTGCACTCTCATTCTGACTTGTGACTGAATCACACATCACTGTCCACCTCACCTGCTCTCACACATGCTCTGCCAGACTTATAAAAAACTGCAGCCAGAGATGTTGTCAGTCCGACCTGCAGCCATGCAGCTGCACGTGTCCTTGATCCTTGATGCTAACCCAGAAATCTGACACTCGGCAGATCGTTTACTTTTAGGCTGGATTCGATGTCAACCAGTGGAAGCACCCTATGTAACTATTGGAGGAATTGCGACAGTTTTTTTTCCCCTTATACTTCGCAATTACGCCCTTTCTTGGTAAACCAGATGCAAAACTTGATGAAAAATCATTGTGCATACTACGTACATAGCTTTCATCTTGAAGTGAATGTCGTGCATGATATGTACCAATTACCCACCCGTTTGGGTGGGGTTTCAAATTTCAATCTTTCTTGTTTTATAGTACGTGTGAAAAATTGAGAAGCGGCTAGTTTCATGCGTTGACAACATCTCAAAAAACAACAAATAAAATGAAATTGTAATATTATATATATATATGATTTTAGCCAAAATACTTGGAATAATAAATAATAACACCACTTTTACAGTTTTACTATTGAAAATCTTTTTTTTTTTTTTTAGTTAATAAAAACAGGTCCTTATTACCCGCCCGTTCGGATGGGGTTTCAATCCTTCTTGTTTTATAGTACGTGTGAAAAATTGAGAAGCGGAAAAATTGAGAAGCGGCTAGTTTCATGCGTTGCCAACATCTGAAAAAACAACAAACAAAATCATGTCAAAATGGAATTGTAATATTGTATATAATCTGATTTTAGCCAAATGCGAGGCTCAAGGCCTCGATAGGCCCTACTGGGCCTTATTTTCAGTACAGTCGGCCGCCCTAAGTGAAGGCATGCTCGACCAAGGCCTACAGGCCCATTTTTGGGGTCACCACGCCCGATATGCAACATGGGCCGAACACAGGCTGCAGGCAGTTGGGCACAGGTAACCACCACAGGCCCTGGGCCTGATTCGTTCGGACTGGGGCTCAGCCTCACAGGGCCTACCGGAAGTTTCTGGACCGAGGTCCAATGCAGGCAGGCCGCACGCAGCAGGCAGGTCACTTCCATTTAGAAAAGTGCCTGCCCAAGCACTCCTCATTCGGCCACTGGGCTCATCCTGCGCTAGACGCTGGCCAGCGCTCACGCTCTCACGGGCGATCTGGATGAGCAGGCAACCATAGCCGAGCTGCCCTGCTGTATGCTGGATGGGGCGCATGGCGGTCCTTGGGTGCACGTGGCGTCTGTGAGTGGGGGATCGAGGTTGTGAGTGATACGAGAGACATACCCGGTGCTTGAGGCGAACGGCATTGGCCAAGATCTGCTCGTACTTCAGGGAGCTGTTGACGTCACCAGCGGCATTGTAGATAGGCTAGATAGGATCTGGCATTTGTAGTCTGGGCGCAGAGCGCCAGATAGGATATCGACATTGGTTCTTTGTTGATGATGATGAGACTATTCCAACATTGTCACTTATGAGCTTTTGCTGGGCGAGTCTGGGTGCAATTCTTCTTTCGGTTCGAGGTCACGACTATCTGGTCTCATGTGTATGACGCTGCTTGGTTTCTGAAGTTCGCTATCGCTCATTTTCCTTGCAAAAAATAGAATAATACCGTATTAATGCCACTCTTACTATTGAAAATCTTTTCTTTTTTTTTTTATAAATAAAAACAGGTCCTTATGGTTCTGGCTCCATATCCATTCTGTCTGGGGAGCGTCAGTCTGGTTCCTTTTTTTTTTCTTTTTTTTTTTTTGCGTCAGTCTGGTTCCTATTCCCCCGGCAAGTCAGAATAACAGAATTACATCATTGCACATAAATCTTGAAAGAATGTACGTTCCCAATTTGGCAATCTTACATGTTTCCACACATCCTCTGTCAGGACCGCCTCCAATTACACATACACATGCTCAAAGTGACGGGCGGGCACACCCTATCAAGCTACAATATCAGTATATACACTTGTGAATGCCAGCGTGCTAAGGGCGACAAGACAGTTGAAGACACCTTTCGGTCATCACTTGACCATCACAACAACACATCGTGACCACGCATCATACACACCAGCGGTTAACGGGGTAAACAGTGCATTGCTGAAATCACGTTTTTTTGGCCAAATTTGAAATTTCACTTGGGTTTTTTTGTTTTGACTGTTGGAATTGTGTGTGCTGACCATTTTTTGTTTCAACTGTTTGTCCATTGGAATCTGTGGTAAGCATTTCTGAAAATTCTATGAACGCAAATTTTCATTCAAGTGCACTTTTGCCTCACAGTTTCGTGTTGTTTTTGTTTTCGTTTTTTTTTTTTTTTTTTTCCGGGTGGTTTGTTAACATGGTGTCCACTCTATGGAATTATGCTAAGTTTGGTTAAAAAGACCTTCGGGTTTTCTTATAAAGAGCATTAAAAAAAAAACGCTCTCCATTAATCAGCACTCATCATACACTGCCTTGTTTCTGTTTTCGTTTTTTTTTTTTTTTTTTTTTACACCGCTCT